ATGTAGAGGTGGGGCTCTGCATTGCGACGGGCGACCCCCGGCACGTCAGGTATCCGGTGCTTGGCAAACGGAGGTCAGGCCCCGGGGAACTGGGGTAGGGGTTTTTGTCCCCGAGGGTATACCCGTTTCTGACTGATTCCGGGCCGCTCCTTGCCGCACGATGCGCTGGAATAAACACGATGGCTTTAAATAAAACCCCTCAAAACACATTTTTGACCAAGAGCTCAAATGAGCCAGAAAAGACACTGGAAGTGGAGCAGAACGCTTTTGTCCGTAGCTCCAAGGTTCAGCGGTCGCCACCACCGAAAAACGTGAGGACATCTCCCCCACCTGCCACCTTCAAATGCACTAAGGAGTTCCCCCATTTAGGAGCTCCTACGGCAAGTGGAGCTGGGAACAGTGCGGAAAACGTCGGAGATGCAGGTGTCGAGCTAGTTCTGCTGTAGGGATGCCGGAGGAGCCATTCAAAGCACCGTTGAGGTCGGAAGGCTCTGAGATGGTGCTTCTGCGTCAGGAATATCTTGACGCAGAGAGTGACATTGAAACCCGGCTCCAAGACATGGAAGCTACGATCAAGGCTATACTGGACACCTTCCGGACCCAGAAAGCCGTAAATCAAGTGGTCAAAAACGGCATGGCCAAACTGGAGGATGACCTTGGCTTCGTTTTTGCCTGACGGGTGGTGAGCAAGGCAGCCATGGAGAAGATTGCCGAGAAGGTTGTGTCTCTGTCTGACGAAAGAACACTGCCTTCTAAGAAACGTAAAAGGCCTTCCACATCGGACAGTCCTCAAAAAAGAGAAGAAGGCGTCCAGACCAAAAGGACCAAGGCGTAAAGGCCAAGGCGACTCAGACTGACCTATTGTCTGCTGTGTCCAGATCCTTTTCGGACATAGCTGCAGCTCCTGTAAAGAACCAACAGCCACAGCTACCTACGACCCCCCTTCAGGGAAGTTTCCGAAAGGGGTCAGTTGTAGAGACACCTGGGGCTGCTAGGGAAAAACGCCATTCCCGAAAGGACAATCGAGGCGGGCGGAGGTCGCCTCTATAAAGAATGTGGCAGTGAAGGCACAGCCGACCGGCGTGGCCCAAACTGGGCCCGGCTCGGTCTCTGCTCCGAAAAAGTCCTGGCCAAAAAAGCCCAGGACGGAGGCAATCCTGGTCAAGCCCTCAGGGAGGAGATCTTTCGCCGAGGTCTTGGGTGCAATTAAGGCCAAGGCTAAGCCAGAGCAGACCAATACGGTTGTACGGTCGATTAGACGAACCCGGGACGGGGACGTTCTCCTTGAACTGGTAAAGTCGAAAGACAAAGCAGCCTTTACTGTCGAACTGAAGGCAGCTGTTGAAGGCCAGGGCACCGTCCGTGCTCTTGAACCAAAGACATCAGTCGAGGTTCGAGACGTTGATTGTGTGTCGTCGGAGGTTGATGTTGTTGAGGCCCTGAAGAAAGCTGTCCCCGAGCTTGGCAGGCAAACTGCTTTTCTTAAGGTGTGGCTCACAAAACCGAACAGGAGTCAGCAGCGGATGGCGGTCGCCGAAATGGCAGACGCACATGCCACTAAGGTGCTGGCACTCCAGCATCTGAGAGTCGGCTGGGTCAACTGCAGGCTCAGACTGAGAGTGGAAGTGAAGAGGTGTTTTAAATGCCTCTGTTTCGGCCATTCCTCCCGAAACTGCAAGGGACCCGACCGAAGCAAGAACTGCCTTCGGTGCGGGGAGGTCGGTCACGTCCGACTGCCAAGTCGAGTCCTGTTTCCTTTGCAAAGAAAATGGGCTCGCTGACAAACACTTGAAGCATATAGCTGGGTCTGGACAGTGTAGTGTATTCAAATCTGCACTACAGCAAGCGAAAGCCCTTTCACAAAGATAAGAATCCTTCAGTGCAATCTTGAGCGATCCAGGTCGGCTGACGCACTTCTATGTCAGCTTGCCCTAGAACACGATGCCGACACGCTCTTAGTCAGCGAACAGTACCAGTACCGTGATAGGGACCCATCTCTTTGGTTCCCTGATAGTCTTGGTACTGCTGCATTCTGGGCGCGTAATGCAGCGAAAGTACAAGTACGGGGTCACGCGAAGGGCCGAGGTTTCGTTTGGGTTCGGTGCCAGGATGTCACTAACTTTTAAGTGTCTACCTCACTCCCAACGAGGCCATCCGTGAATTTCGTGAGAAGATAGACCGCCTGGAAGTGAGCGTGTGCAATACCATAGGACACGTCGTCGTGGGTGGGGATTTTAATGCTAGGGCTGTCGAGTGGGGAATGACCATCACCAATTCCCGGGGCAAGTACATTCTGGACTTTGCTGCCAGAGTATTACATCCAGGGTATTCTCCGCGCCAAGAAGCTCGACCTTGACCGGGATGCGGTTTAGGTCATAAAGTATCTAAATGCCAAAAACGGTGAGAGCCCTGAGGGCTTAGGTCACATGTTGGCCTGACTTGAAGTAATGTGACAAACAATTCCAGGTCTGTGTCCAACAGAGTAGAGGGGGTTTTTTAGTGAGTAGTCTGTGATAGATTCAGGAGTCTCACACTACAGGCTGGCTACCTGTGTGCGTAAAAGCATTTTCCCTCCTCTCCCTAAAAAAAAAAAATTAAAAAAAAGGTAGGCCATACATTCAATCAAATCTATAATATTAAAACGAAACAGTGTTTTTTTTTCACGATTCTGAATCAACCACCTGACGGATTTTAATGATTTTTGTGTTGAAAGAAAAATAATTTTGAGAACTAGTGAATGTCGAAGCCATAATTTTATTTTAGAGTCCCAGTTTTTTAGAAATTGAGTTTTAATTTTTTTTTAAGTCTAGCAGCCGACGCTAAGATTCTAAACTAGCTTTTGGCATAAAATAATTTGCTTAACATAACAGCTGTAAACATTCAGCATTTGTGTCACAAATTCAGCATTTGGATAAAAATGTAAAGACATACTTAGGGTTGACTTATTTATACTATGTGTAATGCTAATCATTGATACGTTCAATTCTTCTGTAAGAGGATGACAGATTATTAAATATACATAGTAAAATACTAGGATGTTTAAATTATTTTTAAAGCAATCTTTGTAATCTTCGATTTGTTTTAGAGCAATATAACTTGTTTTCACTAACAGCTGGTTAAATATAAACTATGGAACTATGAGGTTATTTATTTACTCTTATTTTGTCATTGATTATAGGAAATAAGTAAGATTATTAGAGATAACTAGACCACAGTTTAAACCACAGTTTTAACCAAAATTAATTAAACCACAGTACAAATCGAGGCTCTGTACACGAGTCTTAATATAAAAGGATAAATGCAAATTATTTTACTGCTACACTTTTCAAGGAAAGATTAGAAAAATAACAATGTTTACATGTTTTAATTCTTCATGGTAGCTTTTTGTTTACAATTAATGTTAGTCTGCTTTAACTTTGTTTGGATTAGGCCCGGAAATATTGATTTCATAAAAAGAAGACCAAGAATAATCAGGAATCACGATTTTAAATACCACCACAACCTCAGCCGGGTTTTATACAAAGATAAACAGATGGATGACATAGATTGAACACAACGTCAAGATTGACCTAGGATACTGCAATTAGACAAACCATCCTTATGAAATCGTGTTCAGTTGTGGTTACGTTTGGGGGCGCCTATATCAGCGCCCCCAAACGTGAAAATATCCCTTTCATTTCAACTATGAATATATTGTAGTTTAAATTAACTAATATGGGAAATTACGAAACTTTGTCTTTATATGTGTAAACTAGGTGATCTGAATTGTACACGGTTTTAACTGACTACTGAATTCCCGTACGTAGGACGGGCTAACACCTCGTACATAATTATATGAAAATAAACTCCAATAAACCTTAGATTTCCCACATGCCTCTGTCTTAATCTAATATAGATGATTGAAATAACATTCACTTGATTTAACATCCACACACATTAATAACTAAAAAGTAGAAAATAATTTATAAATAAAAAACTTTTTTAAGACAAAACGTTTTTAAATGCACTAAAAAGTAGAAAATAATTTATAAATATGTGGAGAGTATAAATACTTTTAAGATTTAAAACAAAAAACGTGGGGTGCATGCATTTGATAATAATACATTAGTTCAATAGGTGAAGGTACTGTAATTGTAAGTTATCTATTGCATGCACCCCACGTTTTTCGTTTTAAATCTTAAAAGTATTCATACTCTCCACATATTTATAAATTATTTTCTACTTTTTAGTGCATTTAAAAACGTTTTGTCTTAAAAAAGTTTTTTATTTATAAATTATTTATGTTGATCAGAAAAAAATCTAGGTTTAAGTTTGGTCAATCAATGGGATGCCTTTACTTTACACTAATTTTGTTAAATCTTAACAAAAGTAGTAGTCAATAGTAGTATACACTTAGAAATATTAACTGGGTAGGGATGCTAATTTAGCGGTTTTGGCCAAGAACTAAGCTTACCTCAACACACCTTTATTTGCCTTTTCATATTTGACGAAGACAATTTCCAAAATTCTAATCGGGGAAGCCTTTTTTATCACCATTAATCACAAAACCAACCAAAGCTACCTTAATAAACCAGTATTTATTCACAAACAATTAATTATATGTTTGCTGCCTTTAGCAGAGTTAAACCTATGGAGTGATTTTAATTAACTATTGAAAATAACATCAACAAAAGCAAACAAAGACAAAAAACAAACTGTTTTTACTCAAATGAAATGGTATGGGGATACTCTGGAACATAGATAATATATTTCTGAGTTTGTTTAGATATTAACATAATTTGTTTTATATAATCAAGCTTTTTAGGGTGTGTCCCTACAAGCCACTAGTATACATATATGTATACAGTATATATATAAATAAATATATATATATATATTATACTGTAATAATAATACAAATGATAATAAATTTGTTAAAACATGAGGCCAGCCACCAAAATAAAAAGGGAGCTCCACAAAATGTTACAAGTAAAGTAATCTGAGGAGAACTTCAGACTCACATATATCTAAAGTCAATAGTTGAGACAAGATCCTCAGGGTCCAGATCCACCAATAACTTCCACAGTGGTTTATTCTCTATGCGAGCCCACAGGTCCCAGAGAGCATTGACTATAGCTGCAGCTGCAAGGTGGATCACTCCCTTCTCTGGCCCCAGCTGTCTTTCAAACACACACTCATAAAAATGAATATACCAATAATATAGTTTGAGTGTATCAGTGTATCTTGTTTTTAGCGAATTTCCCTATAGGGAAGTAGCTATTACCGTAGGTGGCATGGTAAGACCTAGGCCCGGGACCGATTTACTTTTTCATTTTGATGTCCCCAGAGGCCAAAAACACCATTCGTTCAAAATTTTTATATATGTATATATATATATATATATATATATATATATATATATATATATATGTATATATATATATATATATCTATATATAAAGGCAAAAGTACTCATGAACTTTTGAGAAAACTACAAGTCACACCCCCATAAACCATATACTTAAAATGTTCCTCATTACCGGTACGAGAAACCTTGCGCAAAATTATCCATTATTTCATAAATTGCCCTATAAGGTCGTAATTGCTTTCCAAAGGGAACTTTCCATATACCTAATGTTAAAAATACCTCAGCTGTTATTATTTGTTTGTATTACCATTACTGTATTCTGTTTTGTTTATTTCAACTTAACCAATCAATAGTTTTATTAATACTAATGTAGTAAAACAGGGTGGAGCCCGTGGGTAACAGCTAGTAGATTATATATATATATATATATATATATATATATACGTCCAAGAACGCAATAACTTGAGTAATTTTTGTCCGATTTTGATGAAATTTGGTTTAAAGGTGTAAAGCCAAATGAGGAAAATATTGAAGGATGTAAAAAAGTTACTGACGAGTCTACAAACTGTTTGTCTCTGGCAGAGGAAATAGATAATGCACTGCTGAAAGAAAATGAAACCCTAAAGCAAGAATTATACGAGGCTAAGAATCAAAGCTCTTTTTTTGAGTTACAGCTGGAGGACGATTTAAAGCAAAAAGAAGAAGAACTAGAGAAGATAAAGCAGCTGTACGACAACAAAGTACTAGAACTAGAGAGTAGAATGAAAACCTTAGAAGCTAAACTGAAGAAAGAAAAGGAATTGAAGGAAGCAATCATTTCACAAGCAGAAGAAGAAAAAGCAATATATACAAACAATAGCACTAACCTAACAAGGAGGATGGTTAACTGCAATGAATGTAAAATACTTAAAGAGGAAACTAACAAGATGTTGACGTCAATAAGATCCCTGGAAACTGTCATAACTCTTTTAAAAACAGAAAATAATGAATTAATCCAAGAATTACGATCTGTGGAAAACAGAAAATCTGACTGTTTAACATGTTTTCCTCCTCTATCTTGGAAAGAAATAAAACACCCTAAAAAAACCCTCTCCCCAGCTAAACTGACAACAAGCACGCCCACCATTGCTCTTAAAAACCGTTTTGAAGTGCTTACTGAAACACCGGACATCTCGAGGAACAGTAATGAAGATGCAGTAGAAATAGCTCCATTGGAATTTGTGGAACCGAAAAATCAATCCGCTAGCAACCCTGCTAAAAAGACCAAAAGCAGGAGAAAAAGGAAGATGCTTATTTTTGCTGACAGCCACGGCAGGGATCTTTCTTTCCACATCAATAGGACCACGCAACTGTTTGAAACTGTAGGTTTTGTAAGACCTGGAGCAGGCGCTAGTGACATATTAAGTAATAATAATATTGATGGGGAGAAACTTGAAGAAGAGGACACTTTAATAATTATGGCTGGGTCCAATGACATCGCCAGAAACGAAGCTCAAATCGCCATTGACAAAATATCAAGAACAATTGAAAAATACAGAGAGAAAAGAATATTGATAGTGGATCTTCCTACAAGACACGATTTGGCAGAATGGTCCTGTGTTAACAGAGAAGTCAAAAGGACAAATGAAATTTTAAAGAAAATGTGTGATCGATATAACAATGCCACTTTAGTACAATCAAGTTTAGCCAGGAGGGAACTACACACTCGGCACGGACAACATCTGAATAGACACGGCAAGACATGGTTAGCAAACTTAATTATCAAAGCAGCTTCTGAAAATCCCAAAGCAGCAAATGGCAACCATAGAGAACTCTCGAATGTCAACTTCAGCATGGCACCAGGGGAAGATTTGAGGGACACCAGCCCAACACCTGCAACCATTCCAGACGGCAACCCATCCCTGACGAGGGGCACAGAACAACCAACCACGGGCGAGGAGACCAGCCACAGCAGCACCACACAGGGAAACGATGGACGAACGACAACACCGGCCTCAGTAGGTTAGGTAGCTATATATTAGATTGTAAGAATAGTTATTGTTTGGATTATTTAATGCACTCAAATGTACAAGGAGTTAAGGAAAAACTAGATGAATTAAGCTTAATTGTAAATAATGTAAATACAAAAACCCTTATAATTTCATTGAATGAACACTGGTTGAGTAAAGAAAATATAAATTTGTTAAATAAAATTGAGGGTTTCAGTTTAGCTGATTTCTACTCAAGGGAAAATGGCAAGAGGGGAGGATCAGCAATTTTGATAAGAGAAAATGCAGGTATCAAGTACAAAATTAGAGATGACCTTAAAACATTTAATGAAGATTTTTATTTTGAATGTTCGATTATTGAAATTTTAAACTTTGTAGAGCCAACATTAATTGTTTCTTTATATAGAGTACCTTATAAGTTTACATTAGTTAGTTTTTAAAAAAAATTGCAATATTTGTTAAACAAGTTAAAAGCTAAGAAAAGGTTAAATGTTCTAATTGCTACTGATAGTAATATTAATGTCTTTGATAAGGTAGCATCAGATGGATTTTTGAATATTCTTAATTTTAATGGATTTAAAGCTAATGTTAAAGAGGTAACGAGGCCTATCAGTGGAACTTGTATTGATAATATTATCACAAATGAGAAATATAATCTAGAACGAGTTTTTGTTAAAAATATAGGTCTTTCTGATCACAATGCAATATGGACTACTTTGCCCAGCTTTAAAGATGATAGGAGAACTAAAACTCAAACCTATAAGAGATGCTTTATTGCGAAAAAAAATGCTGAATTTAAGAACAAAATTATAAACTTAAATTGGGAGGTACAACTAGCAAAAAATGTAGATGAAAACTATGATAACTTTTTAAGAGATTTCATTATGTTAATAAATGAAGTGTTCCCAGTTAGGCCAATAAAACAGAAACATAAGAAAGATGTAAAGTGGATAACAGAAGGTATAAAAGTTTCAAGTAGGAACAAGAGACGACTCTCAAAGCTGGCAAAGGATAGTAACAGTGAAGAGATAAAAAACTACTACAAAAAATACAGACAGATATTTACTAGAGTAGTCAGGGCAGCAAAACGAAACGCAAATGATCAGTATATACAACAAGCAGAATGCAAAAGCAAAGCATCATGGAATGTAATTAAGAGAGAGTTGGGAATGAATAAAATAAAAGATAACAACATAACTGAAGTATTAGTCGATGGAACCATTATCAAAGACCCCAAAGTTATTCCAAACTATTTTAATCAGCACTATATTAACATCAAACAAAAACTAGGTATCCAAAGTTTGCCAGAAAGAGCAGTGGAATGTTGTAAAAAAGTATTAGTTCCAGATGGGTTAAATTTTAATTTCAGAGAAGTAAAAACTAAGGAAATTATAAAAATCATACAGAGTTTGCCAAATAAAAAGTCTACTGGATGGGACGAAATACCCATAAGCTTAGTAAATGAATGTAAAGATTATATTGCTACGCCAATCTGTAAAATAGTTAATCAATCTCTATCCACAGGGGAATTTCCAACAAAGCTCAAGATTTCTATAGTAAGACCAATTTTTAAAAAAGGTGACCCAAAATTGATAGAATATCATCGTCCTGTCTCACTCCTACCAGTTTTTTCAAAGATATTTGAAAAAGTGGTAAATAAACAGTTACAAGAGTACCTAGAAAAAAATGAACTAATAATCAAAAGTCAGCATGGTTTTAGAAAATCCCATTCGACAAACTCAGCACTAATTTCTCTGACTGACAACATTTACAGAGCATGGGACAGGTCACAGACTACTGCCGCAGTTTGCTGTGACCTGTCAAAAGCATTTGATTGCGTAGACCATGAGCTACTTTTAAAGAAACTAGATGTGTACGGAATAAAAGGTTTGAGTTGGAGATGGTTTAAATCCTACCTTACTGAGAGGAAACAGAAAACGTGTTTAATTGTAGATGACATGAGGTGTGAATCTAAATATGATGTTGTTAAATCAGGAGTCCCCCAAGGATCAATTTTAGGCCCAACCTTGTTTTTGATATATGCAAATGACTTTCCCAAAAATACAAATGTTGAAATAGTAATGTTTGCAGATGACACTACAGCTGTAATAAATAAAATGTGCTTAGAGGAGTTGAAAACTACATCAGAAACTACTATAAAAGAACTAGAGCATTGGTTTAGAATAAATGGGCTTTCGCTAAATGCTGCCAAAACCAATATAATACATTTTAGAATTTCTCAAAATAGAGAGGGTGTACTAAGGCTAGCAATAGGAACCAATTATATAGAAAGCCAGAGATCTGTAAAATTATTAGGTGTGGTCTGTGATGAAAATCTTAAATGGCAAGAACACATAATGCAGTTAGGTAAGAGATTAAATTCAATATGCTTCAACATGAGTTGCCTTACCCACTGTACCAGTATGAAGACAAAATTAACTTTATACTATGGCTATTTCTATCCATTAGTAAAATATGGAATAACGTTATGGGGCTCATCAGAATTAGTAAGTATTATTTTAAAAGCACAGAAAAAAATTCTAAGAATTATGACACTAAAAAAACGCAGAACCTCATGTAAAGGTATTTTTAAAAGTTTTAAATTAATGACAGTACCAAGTATATACATCCACGAGGTACTTTGTCACGTCAGAAACAATTTAATTTGGTACTCTCAAGAAAAAACCAGTCACAGTTATAGTACAAGAAACAAAAACTTACTTGTGTACCCTCATCATTCCACAACAACTTTAGAGAAAAGCATTTACTATATGGGAATGAAACTTTATAATAAATTGCCTAACCCTATGAAAAGTTACACCCTCAACCCAACACAATTTTCAGAGAAGGTGAAAAGCTTGTTGATTAGAAAGGCCTATTACAAAGTTAACGACTTTTTGAATGATTCTGAAATGTGAAATGTCTTGGATGCCTACTTACCATAGCTTTGACTGAAAAAAAAACTGCTTTAAAACCTTGTTGATACTCAAATGTTTTATATTGTTTATTTAAATTAAGACCATGTTAAATAGTTGTAAGCTTAGTTTTATCCTCTGTTATAGTTACTGTTGAATTTTCCCTTTGGTATATTAAACTGTTGAATTTTATTAGTATTTATAAACATAGTATATTTTTTGTTAACGATTTTCAAATGTATTTAACCTAGAAGGAAAGAGTCGACTTCTATAAGGGCAATTTTATTTATGACGAAGCACCTGTACATACATCTTGTAATATTCTGTACGTTTTGTGCCAATAAATATCATTCATTCATTCATTCAAAGCGGGATAAACTTGAATGAGTTCGCAAACCAGCACGATCGGACCATGGGAACAGGTCTTTACGGGGGGTTTAATGGGGTAAATATTGGTTTTTCTCACTATTGACCCTCAAAACACAAAATTTCCCAATTTCCCTTTAGACCTTTTTGAAGAGCTTAAAAAAACAAATAATTTAGTATATAAAAGTATTTTTGTTCGATTATTAGTAACCGAAAAAATTAAAAAAATTGTAAATTTAAAATTCCCATGTTATTCTTAAGGAGAATATTGTCAAATGTTGTAGTTTGCTTTTTTATGGATATATTTTGATCAAACTTGGCAAATTTATTTATTTTGTACTAAGCTATCAATACTTTACTCAAAAACACACTTTATTAGTTTCCTTGTAGCAGCAAACCTAGGTACTCGTTAAACCTAATGTTATTAAAATATATTTAACTGAAAATCAATTCAGACAAATGGAAATTCGCTTAGTCGGCAGGTTTGCTGCGGCGGGGGTATTATAAAAAAGGTTTACAGCTTTTACGGGTAAATGACTTACCCATCTCAACTGTGAGTCACTGGTCAGTTTTTGCCAAAAGCCACCAAAGTCAGTCAGTATATTGTTGGTGAACTGGCCAACCAGCAGAGGGCTGAGAGCCTTGATAGCTGCTACAACTGAAACAAGATGTCATCCAAATATACTCTGCATCTAGAGATATTTAAAAATATTGTTTTTTTTCAAGTCAGTTTGGCTCTTCTAAACAACCGATTTTCATAATTTTTGGTCTTAAATTAAAGGTAGCAAGCAAGCACTCATTTATCTACTGTATTACTAACCAAAAATCTTTTTTTTTTAAGTTCTTACTTCAGTTAAAGATGTATTTTACCAGTTATTACATTATCCTATTTGTTTTGGTACCTTAAGCACGCTGCTGAATCACGAACAACCCAAATCGTTCCAAGAATGGAGTTATTTATCATTGATTTTAAATGATTTTGCTTGAAACCTCAAAAGTAACCGTAGATTTAGGTTTTATTTATTAACAATTTAATGTTATTGTTATTATAATAAACAAGTGACTTTAAACAGTGCAAGTCACTAGAAGTTCTCATCCTATTCTAAAATCTGAACGCTGTGTGATGCATGTTAAATGTGGAAACGGATGAATGTGACGATGTCAAATAAATTGACTAATATTTTGTTACCAAAAAAATAAAATATATCTTATGCAAATGCTATACTCTGATACAAGCCATGTCTGTTTGTCTGTCTGTCTGTCTGTCTATCTGACTCTGTCTGTCTATCTGTCTCTGTAATAAATATCTTGAAATCAAGCGGAAGGATGTTGACTAAATTTTAGATTTAGGGACTTATCTAATAATAACCCCCCCTGTTATTTAATTTAGGGAACTTATAATTTCGTGAGTCGGTGGCTCAGTCGGTAGCGTCAGGGACTTCGAGCCCAAGGCAGCGATGTCGTGGGTTCGGATCCTGGTCACTGCCGATAACATTTCATCAGTACAGTTCACCTTTGTACTGTACCGGCTCACTCCTTGCTTTGCTGTAAACGATCCACGCACGGGCGCTTAGTCTATGTGGACGGGCAAATGCAAGGTTAAAAGAGGCCGCCAACCTCTTTTTTTAAAACAAAAACCCTAAAAACGTGATTGGTAACAAGCACTACCTCAAAAAATTTGTATTTCGCTAAACAAATCATTTGAAAATTTAAAAATTTAGCATTGGCCTCATGGGTTGCCAAGTACCTAACTATGTTGGTTCAACATAACTTGGTTGAACAAAATAACAAAGAAAAAGTAAACAAAAGACTTGTAACATGTGCTTACAAGAAGCCATACACAGTATACTAGCAAATTACAAAATACAGTACAAAGGGAAAACATCAGTTTTGAGTATTGAAAAAAGATTACCCTAAAGAAAGATTACTTAATGTAGGGGAAAATCAAGCAAGAGTTGAGTGTTTCGCGTTGGTGACGTTTCACCATAGACTAACCAATAGAAGTATCTCATCCCATTGTAAATTTAAAAGTTGGTTTTTCGTGACTAGTTCATGTACGTTGACACTGATCGCTAGTGTCGAAGACATTTTGTTTCTATTATTTGAGGGTTAATTTCATGATTTGTGCTTTACTGTTTTGTTAATGGACGAGTTATTGTTTATGATTATATTGTTACTAGATAACCTGTTGCTCGAAATCGAGCAAAACTGCAAGCTGTAATAAAAGAATAAACAAAAAAAACATAAACCTCAAGACCTCAAAGAGTCACTCTAAAGTTATTTCTGACTGATTATAGAAATATTTAAAATATTATTTTGTAAAAAATTATAAAAGTAATCAACAATATTTAAATATAGATCCGCTCTCATACTGCTTTGGTTATCTCTTACTGTAGGCGGGTGCCCTCTATGAGAACGAAGATGAGAACCACACACTGTAAAGTGAGCTTTTCAGAATGTAGCAAGCTAAATCCCCCTCTTGACGCCAACCAGTACGACACGCACTATATCATTGTTAAATTGTTTGTACTATATGTTCTGTTTTAGGCGTGTTTAAATTAGGTTTGCCAACCAAAGACTCCGGTTGGGAACATTATTAGTTTTTGGAAAAGAGCTAAGATTTATTTGGCCAGGAGGTGCTCTGTTTTCAGCATTAAAAATAACTGCGACATTTATTTAAGCAGCATCATTGTAGAGAGGAAAGTAACTTCTTTTGTCTCTTACTATGCACACGAATCTCACTCGACTCCTCGGACCTCTCGTCCCTACACATTTCTGCCACAATTTTAAAAGATTATGCAAATAGGTTGGCAATGTGACCCGCTATTCCCGCATATTGTTTCATGGCATTTCTTGTTTGGATTGTGTTTTATGCACTGTTGGGTTCCAGTGCCAACGTCGTACTCAACTATACATCTGTGCGTGTTCAGTATGACCTTCAGGAATTAGATTACGACTACTTCCTTCACCACTTCCTACGTCGTGGACCTGTTTCCCTCTCTTCCCATAGCATTTTAGTATAGCAGATACATTCATCTAACTGTCACAAAGGGTTCCCACACTCCGGACTGCTCGCCTTGACTACTTCATCACTTCCTACGTTGTGGACCCGTTTCCCTCCCTTCCCAAAGCATTTTTGGATTGCAGTTACATTAATCTAACTGTCACAAAGGGTACCCACACTCCAGACTGCTAGCCTTGACTACTTTCTTCAACACTTCCTACGTCGTGGACGTGTTTCCCTCCCTTCCCATAGCATTTTAGAATTGCAGATACATTATTCTAACTGACATAAAGGGTTCCCACACTCCGGACTGCTCGCCTTGACTACTTCCTTCACCACTTCCTACGTCGTTGACCTGTTTCCCTCCCTTCCTATAGCATTTTAGAATTGCGGATGCATTTGACATAAAACCACATTAGGACAGGACGACGTCTGTCAGGCCAGCTAGTCTATAAGTATAAAAGAGGATGTTTGTATATATATATATTTGTTTGGCAGTGATAAACTCAGACACCGCTGAACCGACTGCCACGAAACTTGGTACATACGTGTAGAATTTCATGGAATAGGTTTATACACCATCAATTTCGTGATCCGTCCAATCGGCTCCGCCCCAGTGGCTCTGGAGTTTCCCATGTTAACCTTATGAGAAATGGAATTAATGAATCTTAACAGCTGTTTCAATTAAACAAGTTGGTTCTATTCTATGATGTTCAATAGCATTAAAGTTACAAGGATTACCAACAGGGTGCAGCACTATTATTTCTTTTACATTTATGACAACAGCTAATTTGCAGCCAAAAGGTGAGTGAGCGTAGCGAACGAACTTCAACCTGGAGGCGAGTTAGCGTAGCGAACGAGCTAACCTGAAGGCAAGTGAGCGTAGCGAATGAGCTAACCTGAAGGCAAGTGAGCGCAGCGAACGAGCTCCAACCTAAAGGTTAGTGAGCGTAGCGAACGAGCTCCAACCTAAAGGTGAGCGAGCGTAGTGAACGAGCTCCAACCTAAAGGTGAGTGAGCGTAGCGAACGAACTTCAACCAGGACGTGATTGAGCCATGCGAACGAGATCATCTTGAAAATTAAGAAGTTAAACGGGGCAAAGCCCGCGGGTTACAGCTAGTATTTTATAAAAGATGGCCTATTAGACTGTCAAAGGTGTTTGTAAAAGAATTTATTTTTAACATTTTACAGTGTAATATGGGCCTTCTTGGGTCCATTGTCCAAGAAGGTGTCTGTTGCATCCGACGCTGAGAAATAGACGCTGGCGATGGACGCCCAGTGACTGCTAAGCATTAATTATCAATCAATTATTTAAGAGGGGGACAGCAATATGTGCATATTTTAACCCAAATATGAGTGAAGGATGAATGTAGGATGAGTGGCGCGATCTTGTAGTCTTGTCAGTGACTAAGGCCGACATGTTTAGACACAGCTGTTAATTAATAGCCCATACAGCCAATGGCAACTAAGGGACAGTTTATAGTGAAATCCGAACCACATTCTTCCATGTAATTAACGAATTGGTCTAATTATCAGGACAGTACTGCAGATAGTCATAGTACTCACTAGTGCAGACGTTAATCCAGACCAGGGAGCATCGCATCCATAGTGCATGCCTATAAATATCCACAATTCGTCACCTCCTAGTGGCTGTATTACAGGACAACACCACCATCCCAGTCCATTGATTTCAATGGGCCAGTTGTCCAAGACACGTCTGATATATGGGACACTGCTCCGGGAGCAGATAGGATCAATCAATCAATTTATCAATTATTTAAGATGGGGATTGTCATTATTTTGTTACTCTTGTTTTGAAAAATTTCTAAAAATTTGAACTCCAAACTCGCTTTTTCAGGCATTCCAGAGGTGTAAAGAACGTTCAAAAGAACTCCAAAAATCTACCCAATTGAGGCTGTCTCTGGCCGGTCGGTATCAGGAAATAGTAAGTAACTAATAAATCAAAACCATAACACAACAAACGAACAAATTGTCATTAAGTTGTTGTTGTTGCCTTCTGTGCTGCGCGTGAAGAGCCGTATCTACTGAATTTTTATTTCAAATAGATTTTGACAGGCTGAAAACTTAATGTATTATTGATCAGTAGACCTACAGTGTGTTGAGACATTTGCTGAGACACTTAAGACACAATCAACAATGAAGATTGACAGTCAAAACCAATATTGTGAGAAAGCCCTTAATTTCTTGTTATTTGTGTATGTCAGCTGTAAAGAGGATTTAAACGTAAAATAATATCCTTAGGCTACTGTTAAAACTTGATATTAATATAGTTGTGAAATTTGTGTAGCCTAATATAGTTCGAGTAAAATAGTTGGGAAATTCAGTGTCTCCCCCCAAATATTTTTTTTGTGCGATGCCCCTGACTGTAGGTAAAATTATCGGGTGGAAAGAGTGACCCTCCCCAGGCACCAGATACCCCTCCCCTACCCGCCCCTACACGACGCGTCGTCGCAAAGTAAGCAAGGCAGAATGTTATTGTTTGTTATCAGGAACTGTCATCACTTTCAGTATGCTCAGTTTTAGTTACCATACGCTTTCTAAACAAATCTGTTATTAAGCTTTGCTATGCTGATGCTTTCCTCTTAGACATTGTGAACACATCATCACTGAATAACAAGTAACACATAGAACA